CCAGTCTAGCCAATTTAGCAAGTTCTGGATTCAGTGAGAAACTGTTTAGAAAAAGGTGTAGAATGAATGAGAAAATACCCAGTGTTGACATAAGCCTTTATTTACATTGCATGTGTGCCCACACAAATACACACAGACACATGAACATTCGAATACATGCACTACATACACACACACACACACACACACACACACACACACACACACACACACACACACACACACACACACACACACACACACACACACACACACACACACACACACACACAGAATTATAATAATTTAAAAATCTTGCTTGCTGCTTCTTGAGGGGAGGGAGATCATAATGTGTGACTTCACTGTCCATCCTCAATACATTTTAGAATTTGTTTTCATTTAATACAGTTGATGCCTCAGCAGGATCCATGCTCTATCTGCAAGTGGATTTGTCCTATGGCATGCTGGGGTGCATACTTAATACCCAGGAGCATCCCAGTATCCACTTGGGAAGTTGCTGAAGAGCACTGAAGTAGACATGAGGTTTTATGTTTACTTAGGCACCTGGCAATTGTCTCTAATCTTCTGTGCATTTCCATGAAATATAAGCTCTGCATTTTTTTCATTTTAGTAAAGATAACTTGGTTGATTATTTTCAGGTTTATATACTGGCCTATGTTCATTGTATAGTGATAAATAGTGATAAATTTCAAGATTTTTTTTTTTTTTTTTTTGAGAAAGGGTTTCTCTGTGTAGCTCTGTAGACCAGGTTGGCCTCGAACTCACAGAGATCCGCCTGCCTCTGCCTCTGCCTCCTGTGTGCTGGGATTAAAGGCATATGCCACCATGGCCCAAGATTCATAAAGATATTTTAATTCAAATATATCTTGTACTTTAATAGATTCTCTTCTCATGCCCTCCCTCTTGGATGCCTCCCTCCTTCCTTTTACTCACTTTGCCAGAATTTGAACCAGTTGTTTAGTTAAACATTTAAATCTTACTTAAAACCAGCTATTCAGCTTGTCATGGGTTAAGGAGAGAATGAACAACCTGTGTAGCTGTTGTTTTTCAGTGTTTACTGCATGTACTTGTTGACAACAGGATGGTAGAGCAGGGGCTGGCCACTGGATTTCAGGCCTGCCCAGACCAAGTCTGTTCTATACATTGCTACTGAAACACAACTTGGTCTGTTTGTTTGCATATTGCCTGTGTTACTTTGGAACTACAGCAGTAGAATTGAGAAAAAGACCTTGATTTTTTTGCTCACGGGATCTAAACTATAGTGTTATTTCCAGAAATCATTTGCTGATTTTTGCAGAGTGTTTAATTGCAGGACATCTTATTAGTTAGTTCTTTTGTCTAAACAGTGGTTGTGAGTCTCCTCTCTCCTCTCAGTTCTAGATGTCTGGGGTATCCCCAGGGCCACACAGCTTTGCACAGTAATTCTTCCTGTTCTCTTTCCATAAACCAGCCAGCATGTGTTCATCAGTGTGCTGCAAAGATTCCCTGATCTGCTCAATGTGCTTGACTTGAGAGAGACAGACTATGAGAATGGCTATGGATAGTGTGGTTGTTTGAATGAGGTGTTTCCTCTACAGTCTCAGGCATTTGAATGCTTAGTCTCCAGTTGGTGGTGCTGTTTGGCAAGACTTCAGAGTTGTGACCTTGCTGGAGGAAGTATGCTCCTGGGCAGGCTTGGAGAGTTTAAGGTCTCACCCTACCTCCCAGTTTGCTCTCTGCTTTGTGCTTGTGGTTTAAGATGTGAGTCTTTGGCTGCAGTGCCTGCCTGGGCCCCTTCCCTGCTGTCGTGAACTCTAACCCACTCGAACTATAAGTGAAAATAAACTCTATTGGTTGTCTTGGTCATGGTATTTTATCCCAGCAACAGAAACACATATGAATGAAGATGACAACTCCTGGTGAATGGTGTGGTACCTTCTACAGAGTAGCATCAGTGAGGTCTCTTCTGCAGGCTAAGGAGTCTCATTGGTTCAACCCCTGACTTCCAGCACCTCCTTTTCTCATCACTGTCTACCTTGTCTCATTTAATGGTGGAGAGAAAAGTCAGTGTGGGGCTAGTAACCATTGATTGTTTCCTCCTCTCTCAGGCTGTGGTGATCATGGGTGTGGTGCTGCAAGGTGCCAACCTGTATGGGTATATTCGGTGTAAAGTGGGCAGTAAGAAGAACTTAACCAGCATGGCTACCTCATATCTCGGAAAGCAGTTCCTAAAACAAGTACGTGTGTTTTAGATATGGTCTGTAACTGATACAATAATGTTTGACTCCTTAACACTGGCTTTTTTTTTAATTACTTAATTTTTTTTTTTTTTTTTTTTTTGGGGGGGTTTT